GGTACTGACATTTTTACCCCGAGCTACACTCAGAATACCGCTAGGGAGGTTAATAAATGATCACATAGATACAGCAAGGCAAAGTTTCGGAGTCTCGCAGGACCCCTTCATCAGGCCTGTGCTGTAACTATGTGATCGTTTATTAAAACTTTTGGACCCCATATTGGTGATTGTCGGTGTGCTAAAGACATTCTCCCTTGCAGAATCTAGCCTGACATGCGATTGGCTCAGAAGTGTTCTTGGAAGGTCACAGCCTGATTTAAGGTTTGGTGCAAAAATAGGGGAAACACAAGAGAGGCTGGTAGTATGTGACAAAGAGGTCACTTGTCGTCTTGGGCAATGTTGGGATAACTAGAAAAAATAATTAACATATGAAGGTTTATAAGCAAGTGATGTATCCAAGATGAAGTGCGTAGGTAAGAGCTATTGACTGTTCACTCCAAGATTTATTTTTATTTCAGGTTACTTATATACAGTCAGGTCCATAAATATTGGGACATCAACACAATTTTTTTTTTTCTAACATTTTTGGCTCCAACAATGGATTTGAAATGAAACAAACAAGATGTGCTTTAGCTGCAGACTATCAGCTTTAATTTGAGGGTATTTACAATTCCAAATCAGGTGAACGGTGTGGTAGGAATTACAACAGTTTGCATATGTGCCTCCCACTTGTTAAGGAACCAAAAGTAATGGGACAATTGGCTTCTCATCAGCTGGATTCCATGGCCAGGTGTGTGTTTATTCCCTCATTATCCCAATTACAAGGAGCAGATAAAAGGTCCAGAGTTCATTTCAAGTGTGCTATTTGCATTTGGAATCTGTTGCTGTCAACTCTCAAGATGAAATCCAAAGAGCTGTCACTATCAGTGAAGCAAGCCATCATTAGGCTGAAAAAACAAACCCATCAGAGAGATAGCAAAAACATTAGGCATGGCCAAAACAACTGTTTGGAACATTCTTAAAAAGAAGGAACGCACCGGTGAGCTCAGCAACACCAAATGACCCGGAAGACCACAGAAAACAACTGTGGTGGATGACCGAAGAATTCTTTCCCTGGTGAAGAAAACACCCTTCACAACAGTTGGCCAGATCAAGAACACTCTCCAGGAGGTAGGTGTATGTGTGTCAAAGTCAACAATCAAGAGAAGACTTCACCAGAGTGAATACAGAGGGTTTACCACAAGATGTAAACCATTGGTGAGCCTCAAAAACAGGAAGGCCAGATTAGAGTTTGCCAAACGACATGTAAAAAAGCCTTCACAGTTCTGGAACAACATCCTATGGACAGATGAGACCAAGATCAACTTGTACCAGAGTGATGGGAAGAGAAGAGTATGGAGAAGGAAAGGAACTGCTCATGGTCCTAAGCATACCACCTCATCAGTGAAGCATGGTGGTGGTAGTGTCATGGCGTGGGCATGTATGGCTGCCAATGGAACTGCTTCTCTTGTATTTATTGATGATGTGACTGCTGACAAAAGCAGCAGGATGAATTCTGAAGTGTTTCAGGAATATTATCTGCTCATATTCAGCCAAATGCTTCAAAACTCATTGGACGCTTCACAGTGCAGATGGACAATGACCCAAAGCAGACTGCAAAAGCAACCAAAGAGTTTTTTTTAAGGGAAAGAAGTGGAATGTTATGCAATGGCCAAGTCAATCACCTGACCTGAATCCGATTGAGCATGCATTTCACTTGCTGAAGACAAAACTGAAGGGAAAATGCCCCAAGAACAAGCAGGAACTGAAGACAGTTGCAGTAGAGGCCTGGCAGAGCATCACCAGGGATGAAACCCAGCGTCTGGTGATGTCTATGCGTTCCAGACTTCAGGCTGTAATTGACTGCAAAGGATTTGCAACCAAGTATTAAAAAGTGAAAGTTTGATTTATGATTATTATTCTGTCCCATTACTTTTGGTCCCTTAATAAGTGGGAAGCACATATGCCATCTGTTGTAATTCCTACACCGTTCACCTGATTTGGATGTAAATACCCTCAAATTAAAGCCGACAGTCTGCAGTTAAAGCACATCTTGTTTGTTTTCATTTCAAATCCATTGTGGTGGTGTATAGAGCCAAAAATGTTAGAATTGTGTCGATGTCCCAATATTTATGGACCTGACTGTAGTGCCATCAATTTATTCAGCACTTTACATATATATTGTACATTCACATCAGTCCCTAACCCTCAAGGGGTGTACAATCTAAGGTCCCTAACTCACATTCATACATACACATACTGGGGCCAATTTAGACAGGAATTAATTCACCTATCAGCATGTCTTTGGAGTGTGGGAGGAAACTGGAGTACCCAGAGGAAACCCATGCAGGCACAGAGAGAACATTCAAACTCCAGGCAGTTGGTGTCATGGTTGGGATTTGAACCAATGACCCTAGTACTGTCAGGCAGAAGTGCTAACCATTTAGCCACTGTGCTGCCCTGCCCAACATAGTGGGTTTTAATAAAATAATTTAAATTATTTCCTAAACTTGTGTTGTTTTTAACTTGTATCTAATATAAATTAATGGCCATGTCTTTTGTTTGCCTTGCCATCCAAGTACAAGTAAAAGGATCACCTAAATGCTATCCACACCAGCCACATATGAAGGGGCGTATTTACCACAAGGCAAACAAGGGCATTTGCCTAGGGTGGCATTTTTCAGGGGGACAGCACTACCCCTCGGAAGAAGGGGCACGCGTGGCATGGGGACCAGGGGGATCCGAGAGAGGGTGATCCGAGAGTGTATGCAGAGCCCCAACCCTCATTACCCGGGGATGTCTGGAGCTGGGCAGATCAGTGTCTTTCTCTCTCCACAGGGAGGGGGGTCAGTGCCTGGTGAATGGGGAGTGGTAATGGAAGGCTCTCTCGGGTGGTGTGGGGGGGGGGCAGGGGGGTGTTGTTGGTAAATGTCAGGCTCATTTTCCGTGGGAGGGGGGGGGAGAGGATGGTGGTGTCTGTTGGTGTCAGGCTTTCTCTGTGGAGGGGGGGCACTGATTTTTGTGTTGCCTAGGGCAGCAGAAAACCTAAATACACCACTGCACATATGTTAACCTTACCCTCATTTCTCCAGTGGCCCATTTGGCAGCTGGGGGCAAGGAAGCGTGTTAAAGTGGTTCTAAAGGCTCAAGGTTTTTAAACTTCATGCATTCTATGCATAAAGGTAGAAAACCTTCTGTGGTGCAGCAGCCCCCCCTAATACTTACCTGAGCCCCATCATGATCCAGTGATGTGCACGAGAGCCTCAGCTCTCCGGCAACTCTCCTTCCTCATTGGCTGAGACAATGGCTCCCGCTGCTGTCAAATCATTGGCAGTAAGCCAATGAAGAGAGAGAGGGCAGGGCCAAGCCACAGTTCTGTGTTTGAATGGACAAGCAGTGGCTCAGGAGCAAGCTACTAGGCAGGATGGAGGGGCCAGGAGCACCGGCTGGGGACCCGAAAAGAGGGAGTACTGGGGCTGTTCTGTGCAAAACCACTGCACAGAGCAGGTAAGTCTGACATTTTTTTCTTAATTGCCTTTGATATCACTTTAAAGAATTCTCCGGGATAAGCAAAATAGTCACCCATTAGTACACACCCCCCCCCCCCCTACACAGCACACTAAACAATTTTGTAAATCCTTTCCATTTAGGATAAAAGTCTGGTTGAATTTTCTGACCGCATCTCTGTAATTGAAAAAATAACAGCATCCGCTCTGCCAAGGAGGTGTAACAGATGAGATTACATCATATTCTCCTCTCTCTATGCAGTAATGGGAAACTACAGTTCTCATCAACCACAGGGAATTGTAGTGAATGTGGGCAGGTAAACTAAACCTGTATATGTTGAATGTGTCTGAGAGTCTCGATTCACCCACCACTGCAAGTGGGGCTGAATTACATCACTGCTTCCTGGAGAAAGAACTACCGAAGGGATGTGCCAAGACTGGTGGCTGGGGGAATAGGAGGCAAAGCAGCCACCTGTCTTACAAACAGGAAACCATAGAAAATTAATAGTTTGTTCTGTAAATTAATAAGCAATTTCAGAGCAACTACTGAGTGAACCAGAAGATGGGTGACATGTTCATTGAAGGTAGGAAATCAGCAACAAGGACATGTAAAGAAGTTTTTGGCGAGAGTTCTGCTTTAACACTGAGTAACCTCCAAGCCTCAACCAATTTATGAAGCACCAGTCATGTCACATGACAGGAGGAAAGTGAGTCCTATGCATCCCCATGCTGAGAAGTAAAATATATTTGATTCGTTCATGGCGGCTGGATAGAGCAGGAGGGAAGTAAAGGGAAAGTGAATATATTTTGCAGGCAGGGGTCTCCAACAATCTGATTGATCCTGCTTCACCCTAATTAGGTTAATTTTGCCTTAAGCACTACCTGCTATTTGTTCTATTTTATTAGTATTCTTATCAATTAAGATAAACTGTGTTGGGCAAAGCCAAAGTTGACACTCTACATTTCTCTGAACAAAAAAAAATTATGTAAATTAGATGTTCTTTGTAAAGAGAGGGTTTAACCATGTAAAATATAAGTGATTTTCATGTCCAGGTAGGGGGTGCCATACCCACGCACTTATTGGCTGCTGGGGATGTCAATCACTGGTGAATACAGTGTGGTCACTTTATATGTATTTTTATATCATTGCACCTACTTATTTAGTTTTTCATCTGAAGCGCTTCACCAATATTGTTTTTTTTAAATCACTGGTGAATGGCCTCGGTGATTGCTGGAAAAGCTGACAGGGGAGAGACATGTTTGTAAACAACACAGGTCTCTCTCCTGTCAGCATGGACATGCTGCTTTGTATCTCTCTGCATGGCTGAGAGATACAAATGAGCATGTCTCCCAAGTAAAAACAGCACTCAGTACACAATGTAAGACAGCACACTGTTAACCCTTTGATTGCCCCCAGATGTTAACCCCTTTCTCTGCCCAGTGTCATTAGTACAGTGTCAGTGCTTTTTATTAGCACTGATCACTGTGTTAGTGTCACTAGGGATGTCAGTGGCAGTCAGGGGCGGACTGACCATTTGGAAACTCGGGCACTGCCCGAGGGCCTGGGGTCAGTAAGGGGCCCCATGAGATGCCCCTGGTACCTTTTTCATAGGCTTTTTTGAGCTTGGGCAAGGACACAGGGGTCCCATGATCCCCTATTGCCCAGGAGCCCCATGAGTTGTCAGTCCGCCCCTGGTGGCAGTTAGTCAGTTCCCCCCCCAGTGTCAGAATGCCCACTGCAGTCCCACAGTTCTGCTATAAGTTGATGATCGCCACCAGGGGCGGACTGACAACTCATGGGGCCCCCAGGCAATAGGGGATCATGGGGCCCCTGTGTCCTTGCCCAAACTCAAAAAATCCTATGATAAAGGTTCCGGGGGCATCTTATGGGGCCCCCTACTGACCCTGGGCCCTCGGGCAGTGCCTGAGTTTCCAAATGGTCAGTCCGCCCCGATCGCCACCATTACTAGTCTTCTAGGATTACTAGGATTCAGTTCATCCATGCGCAATGCTACTACCTTTTCCCATGGTAAAAACACACACACCAAAACCAGCAGGTACCAGCACCACCTTAACCTTACCTTCCTACTTCTAGTAAGTCTGATTCTGAATTGGATAGCAGGTACTGTAGTGTAATATGTCGATGTGTACTGAAATATGTCAATGGACAAACCACACCATTTAATGGAGTTTAACAACCAACAAAAGCACAAATTAAAATGTTTCTTCCCCTTGCACCTTCAATTGCTTAGTCCCATCAACTGGGGCAGGCTGAGACAGAGACAGAAAAGAGACTGTGATTGGGGCTGAGGCTAAAGCGTTTTTCACACTGTCAACCATCCTAAAGCCCCGTACACACAATGAAAATATCGGAGGAATGATCGGCCATTGTTTTTGCATGCTAGTCTCATATCAAAAGTGAAAAGGTTACTAAAGTTACGAAAATTCTTGTACAACAGAATAAAATTTAGAAAGTGATGTAATGTATCGTACTTATTATTAATAATAATAATAATACTTTGTATTGTAATTTCAGACAAACACTGTGCTGATTAAATGAAAATTGTACGATCTGTATCATACAAGAAACATTTTCATGCTTGTCCCCATAATTTTTGGATGAAAGTTGTGTACTAACAATCAGATTATTGTAAGGACGATCGCTTCGAAATCAGTATTTTTCGTACAATTTTCTGATCGTGTAGTACCAACATAAGGTTTACAGACTGGTAGCCCAGCCCCACTGAATAATGAAAGTCATTTTTCCTGGTGTAATCTGTGGGGTTACATAGTTACATAGTTGGTCTGGCTGATAATAGTCAAAAGTCCATCTAGTTCAACCATTAACAGAGAGGTCTCCCTCTGTTTTTTTGGAGGAAACCTAGCACAACATGCAAGGTATCAAAGTGACAGCACTACTCCTAACACAGAGTGGGATGCATCTGTCAAAATTTCAGTTTAATCCCAGCAAATTACATCAGGAAACCCACATTACTGGTAATCTTTGGGACCCGGCTATTAAGTTTGACAGCCAAGTCTTGCTCTGAAGCCTGTATTTATACCAGTGCTTATGTGCAAACACATTTTCATTTGATTTGCACATAATGCAAGATCCAGCAAAACTGCAGTTGTGCAAAGCAAAAGGTAAATAAGGACTTGCTTACACTTGTGGTTAGAGGGCAGTAAAAACACATGGTTAAGCCCCTCAACCGCCTCCCCTGAAGCCCCAAAGGCAGCAGAAGGGTGTATACACAGGCTAAATCTGTCCTCCTGTAACATCCAGTGGGCGCAGGGGCGGACTGACTATTTGGAAACTCGGGCACTGCCCGAGTGCCCGGGGTCAATAGGTGGCCCCATGAGATGCCCCTGGTACCTTTTTCATAGGCTTTTTTGAGTTTGAGCAAGGACACAGGAGCCCCATGATCCCCTATTGCCCGGGGGCCCCATGAGTTGTCAGTCCGCCCCTGAGTGAGCGGTAACACCGGCAAATAGAATTCATTCAAGTGACTAGGACCACACGCTGCAACTGCGTTCAATGCCTGCAGTTGTAGTGTGGTGGTGCCGCATTTACAGTGTAAAAACGGGTGATGAGGAGTGACAAACTGCCTCTTCACCTCCTGCCTCTTCACCTCCTGGCCAATTAAATGAATAAACGTCCGAGCGCTAAACGCAGCTATATGTCACCCCCCCCAATTTATTTTTCCCACGGACCTAATTGAGGTGATTCTAGCAGATAGCAGACAGTGGCTATCTTTTCTGTACCCTTCACCAGTCCTACCCCTGAACATTTGGATGTACATATCTTACGCGTTCAAATAATACAATAAACCAGAATTTTTATATTTTTTGACTGAAAGCTTGGTACTGTGAAAAAGGCAAGTATCTGGATCTTTTATTACTTCTACCTCTGAGATTTTTTTAATCAAACTTACTATTTTCCCCCAATACTCTTGGATTTTAGAACATTCCCACCATATATGATACATTGTGCCTCTACCTCACATCCACGCCAATACAAAGGTGAATTATCCCCACTTAACCTATGTTCCACACTCGGTGTGATATACCATCTTGCCAAACATTTATAATTCATCTCGGCCTCCTTCATATTTACATTCCCGTAAATTATTCTATACATTTTCCTCTGTTTTTCCGCATCTAGTGTTATTCCTATATCGCTTTCCCATTTTTCTGTAATTGAAGGCCTTATAACAGTGTTTATATCAGTGAGAATCTTATATATTTTAGAAGTTCCGTGTTTCCCATCTCTGCGTGTATCTAACTGCTCAAAAGGGTTCCAGTCCTTTTTTATTCTTAAAGGCTTTGGAAGCTTCCAATTGAAAGAAACGCCACTCATCCATTTTCGTGAAAACCTCTTTTTTTTCCAGTTCCTTAACCTCCTTGGCGGTATGATTATTTCAGATTTTTGGTGCTGAAAGCGGTCCCATTATTTTGCATGGAAATATGTAGTTTTTTTATTGTAGGCTGTAATGTTTAGGAATAACTCACTGAAATCTGTCCGAACAAGAGTCTAGTAAACATCCCGGGGATGATAAAATTTGAAACACGAAATCATAAATGATAATTTAATAAATAATCATAAAAAATAATAATATAATAATAATAATACATTTAATTCAATAATATAATCAAACCAAAAACACTGAAATTTGAAATATAGCGCCAAGTTCGCACATCACTGAACAAAGTCGCAAAATTGTTTTCAGTGTCTGATGATGAATTTCCCCCACGAATCATTATCACTCGATTCTGCAAGTGGTTCTGATTTACTATCGCTTTTTATAGATACTGATAGATACTGGAATTTTTATTTTTATTTCTTTTATACTACTAATGGCTGAAATCAGCAACTTATAGCGCGGCTGCAAGGCTGTGGGACTGCGGTGGGCATTCTGTCACTGGGTGGGAACTGACTAACTTGCCACTGACATCCCAATGACAGCTAATAAAAAGCAGTGACACTGTACTAATGACACTGGGCAGGAAGGGGATACCATCTGGGGCAATCAAAGGCTTAACTGTGTGCTGTTTTACATTATGTGATGTGTTGTGTTTTACTAGAGAGACATGCTGCTGCGTATTTCTGTGCTATGCAGAGAAATACAAAGTAGCATGTCTTTGTTGACAGGAGAGACCTGCGGGACTGCGGTGGGCATTCTGACACTGGGTGGGAAATGATGAACTGCCACTGACATCCCAATGACAGCTAATAAAAAGCACTGACACTGTACTGATGACACTGGGCAGGAAGGGGATACCATCTGGGGCAATCAAAGGGTTAACTGTGTGCTGTTTTACATTATGTGATGTGTTGTGTTTTACTAGAGAGACATGCTGCTTCGTATTTCTGTGCTATGCAGAGAAATACAAAGTAGCATGTCTTTGCTGACAGGAGAGACCTGCGGGACTGCGGCGAGCATTCTGACACTGGGTGGGAAATGACGAACTGCCACTGACATCCCAATGACATTAATACAGTGATCGGTCATTGGGATGTCAGCGGCAATAATAATGGGCAGGAAGGGGATGTCATCTGGGGCGATCAAAGGGTTAACTGTGTGCTGTTTTCCATTATGAGCTGTGTGTGTTTTACTAGGGAGACATGCTGCTTTGTGCAGAGAAATACATAGTAGCATGTCTTTGCTGACAGGTGAGAGACCTGTTTTGTTTACACACAGGTCTCTCCCGTCAGGTGTGCCCGACGATCGCCGGGTGCTGGCGGGTAATCTCCGGCCGAGACCCAGTAATTGACATCCGTAGCCGCCAATGGAAATAAAAATCAATATACTGTATATTAGTGATTTTGTGCAGCCCTGCCGCCCAGTAGCAGTACTTCAACTTTAGGGCCCCGGGCAAGCGGTTAAGAACGTATTTAAACAATTATTTACATATATTTAGTAACAGTTTGACGTTGTGGTAGCGTTTGTTACTATTACAAACATTTGCACATTGTACATTGTAACTACGTTTGTATTTATTTTGCTGAATAATTTGGCTTAGACACCACGGGGTTTATTTACTAAAGCTGGAGAGTCCAAAATCAGACTCCCTTCTGCATAGAAACCAATCAGCTTCCAGGTTTCATTGCCAAAGCTTCATTGAACAAGTTATTTATTTATTTATCGAGTTTATATAGCGCCAAAGGGTTTGCTCAGCGCTGTACAATAGAGGGGGGACAATACATGAAACAGTACAGTAACATCAAACAGCACACAAGGGGTTAGAGGGCCCTACTCTTTCGAGCTTACAATCTAGGAGGGAGGGGGTAGAGGTACAGGAGGAAACGGCTGTGGGGGATGGAGTGGTAGGAGGAGGGAAGGGCAGCGGCTGTTAGGTGAGGGTGGGGTAGGCTTCCCTGAAGAGGTGGGTTTTCAGGGAGCGCCTGAAGGTGAGGAGGGAAGGTGACAGTCTGATGGATTGGGGTAGTGAGTTCCAGAGGATGGGGGAGGACCTGGAGAAGTCTTGCAGTCGTGCGTGGGAGGAGGAGACCAGGGAGCAAGATAGAAGGAGGTCCTGTGAAGAGCGAAGGGTACGGGTAGGGTGGGTACTTGGGAATCAGGTCGGTGAGGTAGTTAGGGGCAGTGTTGTGAAAGGCTTTATAGGTCAGAGTGAGCAGTTTGAATTTAATGCGTTGGGCAATGGGGAGCCAGTGGAGGGAGAGGCAGAGGGGGGTGGCAGAGGTGGAGCGGCTGGTGAGGTGGATGAGTCTGGCAGCTGAGTTCAGGATGGTCTGAAGCGGGGAGAGTTTGCACTGGGGTAGGCCGATGAGGAGGGAGTTGCAGTAGTCAAGGCGTGAGATAATCAGGGAGTGAACGAGTAGTTTAGTGGTGTCTGGGGTAAGGAAGGAGCGTATTTTGGCGATATTGCGGAGGTGGAGTCTGCATGTGTTTGTGAGAGATTTGACATGAGGTTGGAAGGAAAGGTTTGAGTCCAGAATGACGCCAAGGACCTTGGCTTGCTGGGCGGGATTGATGGTGGTGTTGTTGGTAGTGATGGAAAGGATGGGGGGGGGGCACGGGAAGGGGGAAAGACGAGAAGCTCGGTTTTGGAGAGGTTGAGTTTGAGGAAATGGAGCGACATCCAGTCAGAGATGTCATTTAGGAGGTGAGTGATGCGGGCGGAGAATGTGGGGGTGAGGTGAGGGGTGGATAGGTAGATTTGAGTATCATCAGCATAGAGGTGGTAGTTGAAGCCATGGGAGTGTATGAGTTTGCCAAGGGAGGAGGTGTAGATGGAGAAGAGAAGGGGTCCAAGGACAGAGCCCTGGGGGACCCCAACAGAGAGGGGGAGGGAAGAGGAGGTGGCGCCGTTGTAGGAAACGCTGAAGGAGCGTTGGGATAGATAGGACGAGAACCAAGAGAGAGCGGTGTCTCTGAGGTTAGAAGCTGATTGGTTTCTATGCAGAAGGGAGTCTGATTTTGGACTCTCCAGCTTTAGTAAATAAACCCCCACATGTCCTCCCTACTCTCTTTTTATTAGTCATACCCTGAGGAGGACAAGTGGCGTAAGAAGGGAGAATTTCACACATGGCGCACAAACCGATCGAGCTGCAGATGAGAAAGCCAAAATCTAGAGCAGGAAGCAGACACCTCAGCTCTGCACCACTGACTTCCTGTGACAAAGTTTTCTTGCTGTGAAATGGGGAATCAAACAGGATTTCACTTTATTTATTTTACTATTTTACGACGATTGCTTTCTAAACCTGCAGATACAACTCCCTTTTGTAAATAGGCATTTTGTGAAATGTCCCGATAAACTGAGCATAATGGTGCAGTCAATAGACTCCTCTACTACCTAGATGTGTGTTTACTTTGTGTAGAACCCTTCTAGATAGGAGCTAGGATTAGTTAGATTTAGTGCTGGCTCACCGTGTTCACTGGAGATCTATTTATTTTGGTTAGGTAAATTTAGGCAGATTTACATATATATTGTACATTCACATCAGCCCCTGCCCTCAAGGAGCGTACAATCCAAGGTCAATTAGGTCTGTTCAGTGTTCTCAGCTGTTGCTGGTCTGATAGCTCCCTCTGCTTCCATAGATGGTAGAATTCTCTGGAACATAGGTGTGGGCCGTATGAATAGGAATGCAGCCCTGGCCAATCCAAGGGAGAAGGGCACAGGGGCCCCATGATCCCCTATTGCCTGGGGGCCCCATGAGTTGTCAGTCCACAGCGGACTGACCATTTTGAAACTCGGGCACTGCTCGAGGGCCCGGGGTCAGTTGGGGGCCCCATGAGATGCCCCTGGTACCTTTTTCATAGGCTTTTTTGAGTTTGAGCAAGGACACAGGGGCCCCATGATCCCCTATTGCCCGGGGGCCCCATGAGTTGTCAGTCCGCCCCACCATTTGGAAACTTAGGCACTGCCCGAGGGCCCGGGGTCAGTAGGGGGCCCCATGAGATGCCCCTGGTACCTTTTTCATAGGCTTTTGAGTTTGGGCAAGGACACAGGAGCCCCATGAGTTGTAAGTCCTCCCCTGACCCAGAGAAACTGGGCTTCTGGGTCTTTTCGTGCAGAGGATCAGTTCAACCTGGAGGACAACCTGTAAACAACACACATGTCTCTCACTTGCCAGCAAGGACATGCTGCTTTGTATTTCTCTGCACAGCGCAGAAACACAAAGCAGCATGTGTCCCTAGTAAAAAACACACACACAGCACATAATGTAAAACAGCACACAGTTAACCCCTTGATCACCCCAGATGTTAACCCCTTCCTGCCCAGTGTCATTAGTACAGTATCAGTGTTTTTTATTAGCACTGATCACTGTATTAGTGTCATTGGGATGTCAGTGGCAGTTAGTCAGTTATCCCAGTGTCAGAATGCCCGCCGCAGTCCCGCTATAAGTCACTGATCGCCGCTATTACTAGTATATATAAAAAAAAAATCCAGTATATATACCGCCGTTTGTAGGCGCTATAACTTTCATGTAAACCAATTAATTTGCACGTATTGGGTTTATTTTTTAGCAAAGACATGGAGCAGAATACATTTTGGCCTAACTTTATGAATAAATTAGATTTTTTTTTTACTGGATATGTTTTATAGCAAAAAGTCAAATATTGTTTTTTTGGGTTATTATTTATTTATTTATTCCAGGTACTTCTATAGCGTTATCAATTTACGCCGTGCTTTACATATATATTGTACATTCACATCAGTCCCTAACCCTCAAGGGGTGTACAATCTAAAGTCCCTAACTCATATTCATACATACACATACTAGGGCCAATTTAGACAGGAGCCGATTAACCTCTTGGCGCTCGTGTGCCTCCCGGCTCTTTAACCACTTGCCGTCCGGCCGCTGTTTATAATCGGTAGGACGGTGGCACTCCAGGGGCGGGTTGCCGTTCATAAACGGCACCTGCATTTTCAAGCTGTGCGCACACTCCCTGGGAGCGCGCAGCACCTCGATCCTGTGCCAGCTGTGTCCTCCGGGCACAGTGGAACACCAATTGTCGGACGGGACCTCTGTGCGAGGTCCCGATCATGTGATCACTGATTGGCCAATCAGTGATCACATGCAGAGTAGTAAGCAAGATGTCACTTGTGGCATCATTGCTTACTACGTGTGAAATCTGTGAATGATCACAGCGGTCACATGGTACAAGGCTATTCACAACATCCTTGTACCATGTGACAAGCTGTGGCCAATCACAACTCACACAGCATTTCTCAATAGCTGCAAGAATGGAGAAATGATTGCTTTTACATCCTTTATGGGTGTAAAAGCAATCAGTGTAAAAAAAAAAAAATCTTCATCACCCCCCACAAGTAGTACAGTGTCACCATGGTGACACTATACTACTAGGGTCTCTATCTATCTATCTATCTATCTATCTATCTATCTATCCATTCAGTCGTATCCGACCCTTGGCGATTGCATGGACCGTCACTCGTCTTTTTTTTTTTTTCCATGAATTCTCTTAGCAATTATTTTACAGGGTAGGTTGCCAGGTCTTTCCCCAACCCCCACCATGCAGGAGATCCCACATGGCCAGGGATGAAACTAGGACAATTTAAACAGGAGTCAATTAACCTACCAGCATGTCTTTGGAGTGTGGGAGGAACTCGGATTACCCGGAGGAAACCCACGCAAGCACAGGGAGAACATGCAAAAAAACCCCATAAATAATCATTTTAAAAAATAAAATAAAAATTTAATACATTTTTTTTTTTAAATAATTATTTTTGGTTATATACTAATTTAAGTTATTTTTTTTTCTCTTGTGCGATTTTGCAACTTACATCGTCTGCAACACAGAAAGTCTTTCTGACGCACAAGGTGTAAAGTTGTACAGAAACCTTTATTACTCCACCTCACCAAACTGCCAACAAGTTTTAAATACAATGATACTGTCTAATCTAGAGCGTAGACTTTAATCTCTTCCCGCCTGACCCAAAGTAAAATGACGGCCGGGTGAGCCTCAAATCGATCCGGGAGGGTGTCATATGATGTCCTTCCTGGAACGCACCTTGAGCGTGCCTGCATGGCCGTGCTGTGGCAAGATCTGTCACCGGCTGTGTACCTCGGACACGGCCCCGATGACAGATCTGTGTACCGGCCCCATTGCCAGTACTATGTGACCTGCTGTGACCAATCAATGGCAGTTGTAAACAATGGATGAATCCTTTCATGCCATGCATTGTATACAAGTGTGTCTAGCTGTGAATGGTCACAGCCAATCACAGCCCATCTGTGTCATGTGATTAGCCGTGGCCAATCACAGCTAATCACAACAAAAAAACCTGAATGAATCAATTACATTCAGTTAAATGCTTGCTTATAGCCAGTGGTGTATTTAGGTATTGTGGTGTCCTAGGCAACACCAAAATTGGCCACCCAATGCCCCCCCTTCCGCAGAAAGACCCTGACACCAATCAACACCACCCCTCCCCCCTGTGGAGAAAGCCTAACATTGACCAACACCCCTGCCCCCCCCCCACCTGAGAAAGCTTTCCACTACCACCACCCTCCATACACTGGCCACCCCCCCATCAAGAGAGAGAAGACACTTACCTTCTCAAAGAGAGTCGGGGGTCTGCATACACCGTCAAGCAGCCCACAGCCTCTTTCGGATCCCACCTGGCCCACGTCCCTTCTTCCCTGGTGCAGTGCTGCCTCCTGAAAAATGCCGCCCTAGGCAAATGCCTTGTTTGCCTTGTGGTAAATACACCCCTGCTTATAGCAAAGAAATTCTTTGCTATAAGCAATCAAAGTGTGTAAAATAAAAAAAAATACTGATCACTTCCCCAAAGTAATGCAATGTTACTATGGTAACATTTTACTACTTTGGTCATAGTGTAATATAAAAAAAAATCTTCAAAAAAGAGAAAAAAAGGTTAAAAAAATAAAAAAAATTGAAAACAAAATTTCTTTTCGTACTGTCATCAGTCAGTGTCCCTGATCACCGCCATGCCAGTTATAAGATGACCCTGTACTGCACTGGTGACAGTGTGTAAAAAAAAAAATTGTGAAAATAACTTTTTAAATTTCTTAATTTTCCAAAAAATTATGACAAAAAAATTACAACTTCTAAAAACAAACTCTCTATGCCTCTTATGAAGTACATCGGACTGTCTACTCTGCAAAAAGGGGTCATTTTGGGGAAAGCTGTACTGTTCTGACATTTGGGGGATATCTGTACTGTTCTGACATTTGGGGGATATCTGTACTGTTCTGACATTTTTGGGCCTCAAGGAATTCGATTGGCTGTCAGTACTTCAGGATTGATCAATATTCAGATCTATACCATAGTTTGTGAACTCTATAACTTTCCTACAAACTAAATAATACATCCTAATTTGGGTTATTTTCACCAAAGACATGTAGCAGAATACATCTCGGCCTAAATTTATGAAGAACAATTATTTATTTGCAAACTTGTATAACAGAAACAAAGAAAAACATGGGGTTTTTTCAAACTTTTCGGTCTTTGTTTGTTAATTTCGTTTGGATACAGTGTTGCATGATCGCGCAATTGTCATTCAAAGTGTGAGAGAGCGCTGAAACCTCAAAATTGGGCCTGGGCAGGAAGGGGGTAAACGTGCCCGGTATTGAAGTGGTTATATAACTGTTTTATCCTTTATCCCAGGGGCGGACTGACCATTTGGAAACTCGGGCACTGCCCGAGGGCCCGGGGTCAGTAGGGGGCCCCATGAGATGCCCCTGGTACCTTTTTCATAGGCTTTTTTGAGTTTGGGCAAGGACACAGGGGCCCCATGATCCCCTATTACCCGGGGGCCCCATGAGTTGTCATTCTGCCCCTGCTTTATCCTATTATAATTGTAATACTAATACAATTCTAGGTGCTTTCTATAGTTCTTAAATACGGTTGCTTTGAGTAGCTAGTCAATTGTAGAGGAATATTGGGTCTATGTAATAAAGCTGGTTCACTCTGAATCTCATGCACTGAATGGTAGCCAATCAGCTTCTAACTTCAGCTTGTTCAATCATGCTTTAGCAATACAACCTGTAAGCTGATTGGTTCCTATGCAGAAGTGCACACAATTCTTAATGAACCAGCTTTAGTAAATAATCCCTATGTGTCAGAAACGTACTTTTCCCAATCTTGATGCTTGGACATCAAGTTTGGGATAGACACCATTCTGGGCATAAATGTGATTGGAAGAAGTATGCATGGGAAATGTGAGAAAAATAAAGGTACATCAAAATATTATCTAAATTATTTAGGAGAGAGATAACCACAAGTGAGGTCAGACATATTCTATTTCAATGGTTTTTATTAATTTTTAAACAGTATAAAAGAGAGGCAATAAAACACGCCCACACAGGGGCTATCAGTTGCACAGATAAAAAAAAAATGCAAAAATAAAAAAAAAAAGGAAAAACAGTGCTCTAATGCCAACAGGGCAAAAGGTACGCCCACACAGAGGGCTATCAATGGCACATAAAATTACAAAACATTACTGTAACTGACTATAACAACTAAATGCAGCAGGCCAGTCACACCAAAACAGAGAAAGAATGAAAAAAGAAGAAAGAGGGGAAGAAAAAAAAAGAGAGAAAGAGAAAAAAAAAAAAAAGAGAGGGGCAAGGGGCAGGGGTCCAAGAGCGCCAATACCGAACGCCATTACATCCCCAGACTAGCCGGGGAGAGTGTGGGAAAGGCATATTGCAACCACGGCTCCCATATTTTCAAAAATTTATGTTGGGAGTCGTTGCGGATACTCGACATCTGTTCGTTGAGCATCATAGTGGTCATACGATCCCTCACCCCCTGAAGAGGGACAACCGGACTCTTCCAGGCCTGAGCAATTGTTCTAGTGGCCGATAAAAACAGATAGGAAGCCAACTTCTGCTGATGAGCCAAGAGGCCCGGTATGGGGCAATGAAGCAAGGCATACCGAGCAGCCCAGCCCAGCGTATGGAGAGATGGAACAAGGTGAAAAGGAGGCCAAACACACGAGACCAAAAAAACGAAACAGTCTCGGGCATGACCACCAGATATGCAATACATCTCCACGATGGCCACAACCCCGAAAACATTGATTACTACAGGCAGGGTTAGCCCGGGCCAACCGAGCCGGAACCCAGTACCAGCGAAACAATACCTTATAGGCTGCCTCCAGTGTGGTCGTATTAAATGAGCATTTAGCTATGAGTGACCAGGCCTTATTCCAGT